GTATGATCAGGATATTCATCACCCTAAATATTTGCCTTTTTATTAAGCTAGAAACATCTAAATTCTTATCTTCTAGCTATTTTTGTTAAAACACATGCTCTGAATGAAGAGACCCCAAACAGGATTTGCATGAGCAACATGGCTGTTTATTCACCTGGGTGTGGGCAGGCTGAGTCTGAAAAGAGTCAGTGGAGGAGGGCGGTGGGATAGGAGTTGGTTTTATAGGTTTGGGGTAAGCAGTGGAAAGTTACAGAAGTTACAGTTTAGGGCGGTTTTTTGCAAGCTGGGAGGGGGTCATAGGGTCTGGAGTCATGAGGTTGACCAAGGTCGGTTACAAAGTCCAATGGCCTCGTCAATTGAGGCCGGAATAAGAAACAATAGAAGAATGTCTCAAGTTAGTTAGGTTTTGCAGGGGTTGATCGTTTTATTCCGCTTTTCATGACCTTCTAGTTACTTCAGCTTTTCTGATTCCAGAAGGTTCTCCAGAGGTGTATGTGCAGGCCATGGTGCCGTCAGTCAGCCTAAAAGATCTTACATTCCTATCTTTTTATGTTAGTAATATGAAGGAAAAAAAATGAGTGGAGGGCAGTGGAATATTAGGAAGGCCGGCACAGAGGGGTGATGGCGTGATGTTTCTTAGGGCTTCTTTGAGCAAAATTGGGGGCAATGTGGAAACCTAAAAAGGAACAAATTTAGAATGCTGGGAGATCTCGGGGCGAGGGGTGATATTGTGGGGTTGTTAGAAGGAGCATTTGTCATTGACTAATTGGTTATCACTTGCATACAATTTTGTAGGAACTGAGAGATTAATCAGAAAACACAGGATCCAAATAAGGAGAAAGATGGGTATCAGAGGACTAAGGGTTGGAAGAAGCCATGACTCCCAGTTAGAGTGTCCAGCCAGTCCAGCTAGGTCCAGAATAACCATTTGCCTGAGTAGCGAGCTTTTGGGCTCTGTCTTTTAATTTACTGATGGCGTCATATATGAGGCTGGACTGGTTTACATAACAACAACATTCTTCATTTAGGAACAGGCAAAGACATCCTTTTTCAGCAGTCAGTAAACAAGGCCTCTGTGGTTTTGGAGGACAACTGCAGCTAGGGAATTTACGTGAGCTTGAAGAAGGGATAGTGATTAATTCTGCAATGCTAGCAGAGAAATTATTAGAGATGCTATAGAAGCAGACGATTGAAGTGGTAAGGCCTGCTAGAGTGCAGTAGTAATTCCTAACCACAAGTAAGGGGATCAATGGAATGACCCACTTGTGTCATGTCAGGACCACAAGGGGAACAAGGAGGCTTTTGTTTCCATTAGCAAACTGAATTTTGGGAGTAAGGAAAACTAGGGTACAAGTGCCTGTCCGGCTGGTAGGGAGGCAGATGTAAGAGGAATCACAGAGGGGAAAGAAAAAAGTCCTTGGCTTAGACAGAACTGGAAGTGTAAAATGAAAAGCTGAGAAAGTATTCTGAGGGGGCTGGAGCTTTGGACCCAAATCCCAAGGGAACCAGCAAGGGCTGCGGCTGCTGCTGCTGCACGTGGCGTAAGGGCCAGCCCCAGACTGTGAGGTTAAGTTGTTTGGATAAAAAGGCCACAGGCTGTGGGCGTGGCTCTTGTGCAAGAATTCAGATGGCATAGCCTTTCACTTCTGTTGTGTGTAAGGAGAAGGGTTGGGAGGAGTTGGGAAGCGCCAGTGTGGGAGCTGTTTCCAGGGCTTTTTTCAGAGAATGAAAACCAGAATGAGGGAAGGATCTAGTCTGGGGTCAGCTAAGTTGCCTTTCGAAAGCTTATAGAGTGGTTCTGCCAGTAAAGCAAAGCCTGGTATCCAGAGGTGGAAGTATCCTACCTGCCTAGGAAGGAGAAGCTGTTGTTTAGTGGATGGGATTGGGGTTTGCTAGATTAACTGGACACAGTCAGTAGGGAGAGTGTGTGTGTTCTGTTGGAGGATTATGTCAAGATAGAAGATGGATGGGGAAGAAATTTGGGCTTTGGAAGGGGGTACGTGAGATACCTTTAGTAGAGATGCCGAAGAAGCAGGAGGGTGAATTAGAAGGCCATGTTGTAATAGATGGGTGATAACAGGCTTTAGGCCTTTAAAGCCTATTGTGGGATGGGGTACTGTTGTTAGGTGGGGTAAGCGTGGTTAGGTTTTAAAGGGATAATGAGGGGTGAGTGACTTGTAGCAAGGGATGGGGAGGTGGTGTCCCACACCCTAGGGTTAAGGTAGGGGGATGTAAGAGGAGCTATTGAGGGAGATACGGGTTCGGGGAGGAAGGCAGCGATGAGGCGTGGCTGCAGCCCAGGAATAAAGAGGCAGACAGTTTTGTTAGGATATTTCAGCCTAACACGGGAACTGGACACGTGGGGATGATTAGGAAAGAATGTGGAAAGGAGTGCTGACCTAATTGACACCAGACTTGGGGTGTTTTGAGAGGCCTGGAGGCCTTGCCGTCCATTCCCACAAGTTATGGAGGCCAAGGAGACAGGTCCTTGAAAAGAAGGCAGTGTGGGGTGGATGGCCCCAGTTGTTGATTAAGAAGGGGATGGACTTACCCTCCACCATTAAGAAATACCCAAAGCTCGGCATCTATGATGGTCCAGGGGACTTCCGAGGTGTTCGGGCAGTGTCGGTCTTCAGCCCCCAAGCTGAGGAGATCTGGGAAGGATTTGGTTAGGAGCTTTGGGTCGGAGCTCCAGGAGCTCTGGGAGCAGCGACATGAGTCGGGGCAGTCCGACTTCCAGTGGGGGCCCACACAGATGGGGCAGGGCTTAGGAGGAATCCCAGGCTATGGGCATTCCTTGGCCCAATGGCCAGGTTTCGGACACTTGAAGCAAGGTCGGGGAGGGGTGGCTGGATGCCGCAGTCTGGGCGCTTTGAAGGCTTTTGGCCAGGGGTGTGGCTAGGGTTTGTCTTGTGGCAGAGGCAAGCATCTGTAGTTCAGAGATGTGCTGCTGCGGGGTAGATTTTTCCCTATCATTGAACACCTTGAAGGTGTGGTTGATTAATTCCTGCTATGGGGTTTGTAATTCCTGTAGATTTTTGTAAGGTCAGGGGCTGACTGGGTGATAAAATGCATATTAAGCGTTCTTCAGGGGTGAGAGTAGGATGACATTTAAGTCACTCCAGGGGAGATTATAGGACTGGGTTAAGTATTGAAGGATCTGATGAAAAGGAGCCTAATCGTTGGCCGATTTGGGAAAGGTCAGATAAGGAGAAAGGAACATGCACCCTAACTATGCCTTCGGCTCCAGCCACCTCTCAAAGGGGGAATTGTTGGGCAGGGGCGGAGGAGGTAGCCTCAGGACTAAACTGTAAGCTGGACCATGTATGAGATGTGGAGGTGACAGGAGGGGCGTAAGGAGGAAGAGGAGGGAGGCTCTGGGGGGCAGGGTTAGGTCCTGGATTAGGACCTGGTTCAGACAGGTGGGGAGGAGAAAGGTCAGAAGGGTCGATGGACAAGGATGATTCTGGGTCACCGGCAGAGGCAGGAGGGGCGGACGGAAGGCAGAGAAGGAAAATTTGGGATAGGATGTATTGAGAGCAGAGATTAGAGAGGGATTGGTGTGTAAAAAAAAAAAAACGCCTGGACATAGGGAATTTCAGACCATTTGCTCATTTTATAACAGAACTTGTCTGGATCCTGTAGGATAGAAAAATCGAAGGCACCGTTTTCTGGCCATTGAGAGCCATTGTCCAATTTATATTGTGGGCAAGCGGTACTGCAAAAGAAAATAAGTCGCTTAGGTTTTAGGTGAGGTGATAGCCAGAGAGGTCTGAGGTTTTCAGAATGCAGGCTAAGGGAGAGGAGGGAGGAATGGAGGGCGGGAGGTTGCCCAGAGTTTCAGAAGAGCGACGGAGACAAGGAAAGTGAATGTGCAACGAAGCAGCTTAGCAGGCGGCCCAGACTAAACCTTGGTCTGAACCTGGGTGAATCGGTCAAAGGGGGCATCCCACGGGTTGATCCATCACCTGTGAGTGCGAGTGAGTGACCAGAGTGGACGTCTCCGCAATGATCAGTCACTGAGGGAAGACCGTTTTCCTGCTTCCGTGACCTGTGTAGGATTTTTCCAGTCGTGAACCTCACGGAAAGTCCTGTCCTTCCTGTCTCCGCTGAAAGGGAGAGGAAAATGAAACTGAGTGGAGGAGGAGGTTGACAGGCAGCGAGAAGGGCTAAAGAGAAGAGTTAAGGCCAACTGCTTACCTCATCTGAGGATGGGGAGTGGGTCTGTGGGTTGATCTGATTAACCTAGGTCACAGGTAAGTCTCTTCACAGAGGGAGCACAAGGAGACAGGGGGTTTAGTTTCCCGTAGGAGTACCCCCATCCTGGGTTTCCGGCACCAAATGTTAAAATGCATGCTCTGAATGAAGAGACCCCCAACCAGGCTTTGTATGACCAACATGGCTGTTTATTCACCTGGGTGTGGGCAGGCTGAGTCCAAAAAGAGTCAGTGGAGGAGGGTGGTGGGATAGGAGTTGGTTTTATAGGTTTGGGTAAGGCAGTGGAAAGTTACAGAAGTTACAGTTTAGGGAGGTTTTTTGCAAGCTGGGAGGGAGTCGTAGGGTCTGGAGTCATGAGGTTGATCAAAGTTGGTTAAAAGTTCCATGGCCTCGTCAATTGAGGCTGGAATAATAAATAGAAGAATGTCTCAAGTTAGTTAGGTGTTGCAGGGGTTGATCGATCTTCCACTTTTCATGGTGCCCTCCAGAGATGTGCATGTGGGCCATGGTGCTGTCAGCCTGAAAGACCTTACAATTTTGAAATGTAAAATAGATTACTATAAACTAGTCACTCTGATGATTTACTGAACAGTAGGTCTTATTTCTTTTATCAACTGTATATTTGTAAGGCGGGAGAACTGCTTCAGCCCAGGAGTTGGGATACCAGCCTGGGCAACCTAGTGAGACCCTGTCTCTACAAAAAATACAAAAATCAGCCTGGCGTGGCGGCACGTACCTGCAGTCCTAGCTACTCGCTAGGCTGAGGTGGTAGGACCACTTGAGCCCAGGAGTTCGAGGTTACTGTGAGCTGTGATTGCACCACTGTACTCCAGTCTGGGCAACAGAGCAGAAGCCTGTCACCAAAAAGCAAAACCCCCCATATATTTGTACCCATTAATCAAAGTGTTTTTATCTCCCTTCACAGCCTCTGGTAGCCACCGGTCTACTCTCTTTCTCCATGAGGTCCAGGTTTGAAGCTCCCACATGTGAGTGAGAACATGCAATATTTTTCTTCTGTGCCTGGCTTATTTCACTTAATATAATGACCTCCAGTTCTACCCGTCAACGGAGGATTTATTTTAGGAAACTTGCAATGGTGAGTTCTTTCTCTACCTCTTTGAGATGCAAATCTTGTCTCAAATCTTCTTCTAGCCTCTTGCTAGTTTTACAACCCAGGAATGTCTTTCTCAAGACCTCAGAGCCATCCCTTTAAAATGTAGTAATTGAAGATGATACATCTGTCAGTCTTTGTAGAAGGGCAGGTTTCCAGTTTTGAAAAATTCCAGTGAGCGAACACAGATCGCTTTACCGCATTTCCTAACCTCTTCCTGATGTCTCCAGTTCCTTCTCGGCATCTCACCCCAGCACTTAAACTCTCCAGCCTTTTGTTTAACAAAGCTAAGCTCCTTCTCTCTGCGGTATGGCGATAGTCCTGACTCAAGCCTGCCTTGCACGTTTAACTTGTCTGGTGCATTTTTTTCTTTGACAATGTCCAGATCAAACGGCCCCACAAAAACATCGAGTGTGATTTTAGCCTGAGAAGTGGGAGGGTGAGAAGACAGATTTGGAGCCAGCTGTGTGGGCAGGGGACTCAGCCACGCCCTAAACCTCTCCCAGTCTCATCCGTAAATGCAGTGCACAGGCAGCAGCGCTTCTCCCCCGAGGCTGGGGCGATGGAATAAGTTTGACGATTGAGGGCACGGTCGCCAGTGGGTTTCCTTTGGTTGACTGCTGACAATGTGTTTGTAGAATGGCAGCCCACACTAGGCGATGTTGAAGCCACAGAAGACACGGCAGTGGGAAAAGCAGCAGGAGCTGCTGCCCTGAGGAGCCTCCAAGCCCAGGCAGAGGGCCAGCCGCACAGGTCAGCGTCAGGTGGGCTTGGGGTGAGTGGGTGGGGCTGTGTGTGCAAAGCGGGATGTGAGTCTGTATGTGTGTGAGTACATGGAGTGTGAACAAGTGTGCAAGGGGGTGTGTCTGTATGTGTGTGAGTACATGGAGTATGAACAAGTGTGCGGGGGGGTGTGCACAAGTTCGTATGCGTATGAGTGCATTTGAAAACCTGCATGTGGTCGTGAGGGTAAGTTAGTCACTGCGGATTGTGGAGGATATGTGTGTGTGCGTAGAACAGTGTCAGTGTCCTGATGGGAGTGTGAATGAGTGCACAGGGGTGTGGAGTCAAGGAGTGAGAGTGTGTGTGTAACACATGAAGGCACATAGTATGTGCCAGTGTGTGCAATGCAAGTGTGTGGGAAAGTGTGTGACTGCTTGTGGGTGTGCATGTTGTGTGACGGTGTGTGTGGATGTATGAGTGTGTATAAATGTGAGCATGTAAGAGTGAGTGTGCCTGTGACAGTGCAAGCGTAGGGTGTGATGCATGAGTGTGGGTATGTCATGTATGAGTGCACATGTTGGTGTGGATCTGAGTGCAAGTGTAAAGGGCATGAGAATGCAAGCATAGGAGTGTGCATGCATTTGTGAGTGCACTCTCAGAAGCATGGATGGGTGCAAGCCTCCCCTACTAACTCCTGTTCCTTCCTGAAGTCTAAAAAGGATGTGTTTTCTATGTTCCAAAAATGTTTTAAAATTATGTACTGTATTTAATTGACTAGTGTTTCCTTCTCTGTTTAAAATGTGTTGATCACAGGGACTTTGAAAAAAACTAGAAGGTTAGAAGAGTGGGAAGTTATGAGCGAGAGTAGAATTAGATGATAAAGTAGGAACTCTAGGTCAGTGGGGCACCTCTCCTGCCTGATGCTTCACTAAAAAGCACAGCAGGGGGCTGGATGTGGTGCCTCACGCCGGTAATCCCAGCACTTTGGGAGGCTGAGGCAGGTGGATCACCTGAGGTCAAGAGTTTGAGACCAGCCTGGCCCATGGTGAAACCCCATCTCTACTAAAAATACAAAAATTAGCTGGGCATGGTACCACATGCCTGTAATCCCAGCTACTTGGGAGGCTGAGGCGGGAGAATCGTTTGAACTGGGAAGTGGAGGTTGCAGTGAGTCAAGATTGCACCACTGCACTCCAGCCTGGGCAACAGAGCGAGACTCTACACAAAACCCCCAAAAAATCCAATGTAGCTAAAGGCAATTTGATAATGACATTGAAATGAGAATTGTGTCAGAAAAACCATGAACAATGATGAATGGCCGCCTATATAACCCATCCCCCAAAACCCACATAAAGAAGAAATCAGGGCTGAGCATGGTGGTTCATGCCTATAATCCAGCACTTTTGGGTGGTCAATGCCACAATGAGCTGTGACTGTACCACTGCACTCCACCCTAGGAGACAGAGTGAAACCTTGTCTCAAAACAAAAAGAAGAAAGTAATACCTGAGGTATTAACTCTGATCATCAGTGAGTGGGAAGATTCTGGTGTTTTCTATTTTCTTTTAGCATATCTTCATTTTTGAGTTTTCTGGAAGAACATTTATTAAGAGAAAAAAAATTCACTTGATGGGAAAAAGCTAAAATGAGGTTGGCTAGGAAAATATCATTACTAAAAACATTCTCCTTCATTCATGGACTTTTTTTTTTTTTTTTTTGAGACAGAATCTTGCTCTGTCACCTAGGCTGGAGTGCAGTGGTGCAATCTCGGCTCACTGCAACCTTTGCCTTCCAGTGACAAATACTTGTGTCTCAGCCTCCTGAATAACTGGGATTAGAGGCATGCGCTAATTTTTGTATTAGGGTTTTGTCACCTTGGCCAGGCTGGTCTCAAACTCCTGACTTCAAGTGATCCACCCGCCTCAGCCTCCCAGAGTGTAAGCCACTGTGCCTGCCCTTCTTTTGGCTAACTCCACGAGCAAAACTTTCTGCTACGGGAGGTTGTTACCTTACCATTGTTTATTTTCAGGGTCTCCTGAGAACACATACCAGAACTACTGAGGTAATCTTCGTACATTTTCTTAACCATTTGATGTGACTTTCAAATTCCTTATATATAGCTGGGAAAAACGGCTTTACTAGATGATCTGTTTGAACATTCCTGAGGATAAAGATTGAAAAAAAAAAAGTTTAAACCCAAGGTACTGATATGGAAAATACAGAAGAAAACCTAAACAAAGTTGCGGTTCTCAGCCCCTCAGCAGTCTCTCAGTGGTGGGCGTTTCCTCCACTTCCCAATGAGCACCTACTGTATGCCCTGCATAGTGCAGGGAAGCCAGACTGGGCATGGGAGGAGCAGGCCAAGAAACAAGCCTTGGGTCGGGGCCACAGAGGGCATCGGTGAGCTCTCAGGACAGGGCGGGAAGGGGAGGCAGAAAGGCCTGAGCACGCACTGGGCTGTCAGTTCTGAAGTGGTGCACTGACCCTTCATCTGTGGGAGTGTGGGGCACAGACAGCCTGGGCTGCAGCCTCAGAGTGGGCTCAAGAGGGAGCAGAGCCAGGGGTGGAAGAGGCCAGCTGGGGCGAGTGGGCATCAGGAAGTGTCCAGGCTGGCCATTATTTGTGGCTGCCACTGCCACTTCCAAAAAAGGATGATCATTTCAGTGAAAGAGGTAAAAATTATCTCTATTTGCAGATATGATCTTCTAAGTAGAAGTGCCTGAAGATCACACAAACACACAAACCTGCTAGAACTAATAAATGAGGCCAGGCATGGTGGTTCATACCTGTAATCCCAGCACTTTAGGAGGCAGATGTGGGCGGATCACTTGAGGCCAGGAGTTCGAGACTAGCCTGGCCAACATGGCGAAACCCCATCTCTACAAAAAAATACAAAAATTAGGCACAGTGCTCGGCACCTGTGGTCCCAGGTGCTCAGGAGGCTGAGGCACAAGAATCACTTGAACACTGGAGGCAGAGGTTACAGTAAGTCAAGATCGTGCCACTGCACTTCCAGCCTGGGTGACAGAACAAGAGAGTGAGAGACTTTTTTAAAGAAAAGAATAAATGAAATCAGTATGTAGTAGCATACAAAGTAAATATACAGGCCAGGTGCGGTGGCTCACACCTGTAATCCCAGCACTTTGGGAGGCCGAGATGAATGGATCACTTGAGGTCAGGAGTTCAAGACCAGCCTGGCCAACATGGTGAAACCCCATCTCTACTAAAAATTCAAAAAATTACTGGTGGTGCGTGCCTGTAGTCCTACCTACTTGGGAGGCTGAGGCAGAAGAATCACTTGAACTCAGGAGGCAGAGGTTGCAGTGAACTGAGATTGTGCCACTGTATTCCAACCTGGGCAACAGAGCAAGACTCCAAAAAGTCAAGACACAAAAATCAGCTGCATTAAACACTAATAATGAACAGTCTGAAAAGGAAATAAAAGTACCACTTAAAATCTAGCAATTCCACTTGTAGCTGTATACCCCTGAAAATGGAAAGCAGGATCTCAAGGAGGTAAATGAACAGCCGTGTTCCTAGCAGCATCGCTCATAATAGCCAAAAGGTGGGAGCAACCCAAGTGTCCGTTGACAGATGAATGAATAAGCAAAATGTGGTATGTACACACAGTGAGATTTTACTCAGCCCTGCAGAGGAAGGACATTCTCACTTAGCACAACGTGAACCTTGATAGCGTGCTAAGTGAAATAAGCCAGTCACAGAAGTACAAAGATTCTGTGATTCCAATTCTGTGAGGAAATTAGAGTAGTCAAAATCATAGAGACAGAAAGTAGAATAGTGGCTGCCAGAGTTGGGGGAAAAGGGAATGGAGAGTTGGTGTTTATGGAGGCAGTTTTAGGGTTTTTTTTTCCCCCATTTACCCCAGCTTGAAGCTAAGAGTTTTAGTTTTAGAAGATGAAAAGAGTTCTGGAGCTGTGTGGGGGTGATGGCTATACAACACTGTGAATGTACCAAATACCGCTGAACCACACACTTAAATATGGCTAAGATGGTAAATGTTATGCTATGTATATTTTACAATAAAATATTTTGGAAAAAATTTTGATGTGCTAATACAAACTTATAGCGACTCAAACCTGCTTTATCAGGAGTTTCAGAAGGGGCAAGAGGGAGAGGACACGCTAAGCAGCCAGGGGTTGACACTCCAGTAGCAGCCCCGGGGACTGCGTTTCTCAACATCACCCATTGAAGTGGCAGCGTCAGCCACGAGTGCACTGCATTGGTTTTACAGACCAAACCTAAAGACATGGCTGTGCTCCCATCAAACGTGCTCACTAGATCCTGCTGCACACGCATCTCCCGGCCTGTTCCACAGCAGTGCGGACAACGTGGGGTGTCAGATCCCCAACTAGAGTGATTCTGGTCCTGCTTGAGCCTTCGTCCGAGTCCCCATCAGACACTGTGAAGGTCAATTTAAGGATGATGGACAGGCAGGGGCAGGAATAAGGACTGATGTGGTTTGAATCCGTCCCCACCCAATCTCATGTTGAAGTGTAATCCCCAATGTTAGAGGTGGGACATGGCAGGAGGTGACTGATCCTGGGGCAGAACCCTCACGGTTGGTGTGGCACCATCTCCTTGGTGCTGTTCTCATGATAGTGAGTTCTCATGACAGCTGGTTTTTGAAAGTGTGTGGCATTTCCCCCCGCTACTTGTCACTGCTGTGGCCATATGATGTGCCTGCTCCCACTCTGCCTTCACATTGACTGTTTCCCGAGGCGTCCCCAGAAGCCATGCCAACACCATGCTTCCTGTACAGCCTGTGGAAACATGAGCCCACTAAACCTCTTTTCTTTATAAAATACCCCCTCAGATATTTCTTTATAGCAACATGAGAAAGTCTGAATACAACGACACACCCAGACACAAACATTACCTGCAGGCCACAGTGCGCCGACTCTGTCACCAAGCAGGAGTGAGCCCCTCACGTGGAGCTGCTGGCGTGGACAGCTCTGGGAAGGTCAGGCTGAGCGTCCTTTCTCCCGTGCCCCCCGGAGGGTGCGCCCACTCCCTTTCTCAGCACCATCTTGGGGTCCAGGTGGCCATGGCCTGGGTTAAGTGTAAAATGCCGGGTCAGCCCCCTTTCTATAGATGACTTTTCACAAGTCTCACACTTAAAGCTTTTGGGCCTCAGGAAGCAGCTTGGTAAGTGAAAGAGCACCTGCCGCTTCCGTTCATCTTCATCTGCTTCCACACTGCGTTCTAAGTAATCATCAGAATCTGACAGATGACCGCCTGCCAAATTGTCTGTTTTTATGAACTTAGCTTTATACTTGTGGGGTCGAGATATCCGTCTCAAGGTGTCTTTACTTTTAACAATTGTTTTCGGTTCTCACTACGTTTTGTATGCACGCTAGAAATGAACGTACTGAACTGGATGAAACATGTTACAGCCAGGAGACTGGAGGCTGACAGTGAGTCAACATGGAGCCTTGTCCAGCTGGAGCCTTGGGAACTGGGACTCTCTTTGCAGGGGCCGCCTGGATGGCTGGCAATGGTCTCTGTACAAACACCCGAGCAGGCGGTAACGTAGGTCACCTAGGGAGCATGACTGTGGCTCGGTTCTCACGAGGGACCGTACCCTGAACCCCACTAGGCGGGAATTACCCTGGGGCGGCAGGGTCTGTCTTGTGCATTGGGGCTGGATTGTGGCCAGTAGGGGCAACGGCCTTCCTGACGTTTTGTTTCTCCAG